CTTACAAAAATTACAACAAAGACTAGTGAATGTAGTTACTTATAATGTTGGTGATCCCATGCTCTACCCATCCCTACCTTGACCGAGCCTTCTCCAAAGTTATGTTCATGGTCAGGCTCGAACCGATTTTCCGGACAGACAAGACAAAATTAAAACAACAAACAACACTTACAAAAAAACAAACAACATTAAAACAAACAAAAAACAAACTTACAAACAAAATACTAAGCGAATTATATATTGTGTGGGTGATACTTGCGGCGCGTTCGGCGAGATTAGGGGCTTTTCACTTTAGCTTCTTCTGTCGAGCGCTTTCAGAGAGCTGGTTTTTCAATTGAGAACTTCTTTTAAGTTCGGAACTAGTGAAGCATGCGAAAGCGCAGCATTACCACCCGGCCCCCCCCGCCTCCCCCCAATCCTCCATCCCTGTGCTCCGAACTGGCGCGATATTTCTTTTTGTTGGTGTCACTGGTACACTGTTCAAATTTGTACTTTCCTTGATTCACTCCTTTCTGTGCATTACATTTTGATTTTTTTTGGATAAGATATACTCCAGTTTCGTAGTTCTGAGCTCTAGTTCCTCCTTTTTTCCAGGGAACTAGTAGGGAGAGGTGGGAGGAGCTGGTTGCCTTCAGCCAGTAGTTATTTTGCTTTTCGGTTTTTATTTTTTTTTTTCTTGAGTTAGAGTTTGCTATCAGAGACTGCAGTTCTATCTGTGGCTGTTAGTTAAGCGTTTCAGAGACGTGCCTTGAACTGCAGTTCCTTCTGGCTGTAACTAACATTGATCAAACTGTAGGTTTCGAAATTCTGCGAAACTAGTAATTGTAACGAGCGCTACGTGACCTTCGTTTTTTCTGTGACTGAATGGCGGAGTTTTCGAAAGAGACACTCGATACTATGGCAACTTGTACACCTGAATTGTGCCGAAGGCGTCGGGCGGTGGACGACAGGTCTCCTTTTGTCGCTGGATCCAAGTACATCTGGCAAAAATGTAGATAAATCAATGAGGAGGTCAAAACATTGATCGTTCAAACTCTCGACTGGAGGTAAAATACAGTTTTTTCTTACTTTTTCTTGACTTTTTACCTTTATATTTACCTTTTTCTTTCAAAGGTTGTCTTTTTTTCACCATACATCATGCATAATGCCGCCAATGTCCATATGAGGGCCTTGTAAGGGCCGTAGTAGTGTTTGTCCTAGCTATGCTGGCGCTCAAGTGGGCGGTGCAGCACTTATTCAGATTTGGCCAGCGCGCGGTCATTAACGGGGGAACATTAGAGGAGCAGGTGTGAGCGGCAAGGTAATTTTGGCGAGCTATGCATTTTGAACGCCCTGTTATCATGCCGTTGCCTTTGTTTGGCTTTTCTTTTTTGATGGAATTCTGAGCCTCCATTGGTTTTATTGGATTTCGGCTTCATTGATTTTTTAGGTCCATTGATTTTTGGATGTATTGATTCCTTTTAACTACGAGATAACAATCCTTATTTCTTGTCATGTGCTCTCGATTTCTCCCATTGACGCTTCTTTGACGTCCATTTTGCTTTGACTGATTGCGTGGGATCAACCTCATGGTTAATTCAGCCAGTTTGTCGCGGTCTTCTAGCGCAAATTGATCCATCGTCTTTAACAGCAACTTTTGTTTTTGGCTACCTACTGCTGGATTTTTATCGGAGAAATGCGACTGTTTCTTTTCTGAGCGTCGTTGAAATCAGCGGTTCATCTGGTTTATGTGTCTAGTGTATTCATATTTCGCTTTTCCTCTTTGCTATCGATCGTGATTAAGTTAGTGCTGAAGGCTGACACATGCTCCCTGTATATCGTTTATATTTGACACGGACGCTTTCCTTGGAGAAGATAATTTGGTCCGTTAGCACTGAGTATGTCCGATTTTCGCACCTCGGAAATGCGTGATAAGGACGCCGGCGATCTTGGCAAAGGCAATGGCTGCCTACTGCCCTACACACGCCATGGTTCAATCCTAAAGGTTTTATAGTGGCATGTTTGTTCTGCTGATAGCTATTCCCATTCCAAATGGTAAGAATGAGTGATAAGAGCAACGGAGACAAGTAAAAGTCTCAAGCCTCTCTCCTCACCATCGTCGATCAACTGGTGCCAGAGTTACCGTGGAGTATCGAGACATTGAGAGCGGAGATTGCCTCTCCTTCGAAAGTCATTGTATGAGCCAAATCGTTTTCGAAATGCCTTCACAATTCCGATAGAAGAAGAGTGTCAGACGCATTCCGGAAGCACACTATTTTTATGGTATAAGGCGCACCTGTGGGTAGGACACACCCATTTCTTGTGTGCTTGTCTATGTGGGTCAGTGCAAGGGTTCACAGGTGTTCTAAGGCAACTAGAACATAGGAATAAGCAAATTTGCTAAAAAAGCTGTTTTTGTAATGGAAAACTTTCCGCGTGCGTTGTCGCAACATACAAAATTACGCTTCGAGGCGAAGGGGCGCCCTATACACGGGTGTGCTTAATCCCATAGATAGGGCACTATTGAACTATTCCTACCCCAGTCTGCCGAAATCAGGCCGGTTTTTACCGACTTTTTTCTACAGCAGCTTTGGCTGAAAATTGCTCGTAGGGGTACCGCGATCTCCTGAACACGAATATCACATCCGCTTCGCCCGAAATCGCCTGGCGCCCGCGCCACAGGCGCCGGCGCCAAAATACCCTAAATCACCAAATTCGCTGAAAACTTGTCCCTAGGGTAGTTTGACCCCCCCCCCCCCTGAACATGAATATCACATCCGCTTGGGCTAAGACCGCCTGGCGCCCGCGCCACAGGCGCCGGCGCCAAAACACCCTAAACCACCAAAATCGATGAAAACTTGTGTACGGGGGTTATTTGACATCCTGTTTACGAATATGACATTTATTCTTGGCGCCGGCGCTAACGTAGGACACTATGGTCATCTGCGCTTTGCTGGGACTGAGCCTGGCCCGAAAGGAATCACCCCTTTTCCAATCAGCCTAGCAGAACGATAAGTGGCACTGGTGTAGAGAAATGAATGCTACTCGCGATCAGGGAACCAAACAACCTTATTACGCAAAAAAACGTAAACGGCCGAAAAACGTAAGCCAATAAAACTGTTATATCATTGTTACCGACTACAAGCTAATCAAGCCAGGGAGATGCTCACAATATGCCAAGATTCATCGAGGGTCGAACGTGGACGCTTATTACGCAAGTTTTTATCGAATTTGGGAGGAAAAGAAGTGGTGCCAAATTCGCGCCTAATGGCGCCAAATGGCGCCAGCGTCAAAACTAAATGCCATATTCGTGATTAGGACCACTTAGAATAACATCTTTAGACAAGTTTCAGCGAAAAAAATGTTACTGAGGTTTCAGGGTAGGAATAGTTCAATAGCGCCGAGAATAGTGCTTTTGGAATGCATCACTTACTCTCCAAATCAGGGAGCCTCATACTCCCAAGAAAATAGAGTAACTAATCAACGCCGAAAGCTTGGTCCTTTATGGAGAGTAAGCTGTTCGAAGACTAATAAATCGGTGCCTTGGCCAACTTGATTTAGCGACCAGTTCTCGTAGTGGGCATTGGAAGGCATCAAGCGCGCTGCAGCAATCGCAGTGTTTTTGTGTTAACCTTGTCATGCGTAAAAATAAAGATGAGAAACCTGTTGCTCTTCGGAATAACATTAATTGGATTGCTTATTCGATCATTGGCGATTTAGCAATAATAATCGCTAGCAATGACCCATCATGTCGAACTAGATGAAGCTAGTCGTCTAGGAATCGTTGTCCTATTTGCCCAGCTGCAGTTTTGCTGTCAACCGCCATTGCTAACGAAGCGAATGAAGCTGCTGAGCTAGAAGTGCGATTGAGCATTTTTGTTGGATAGTCCGTCATTCCTCTCCCCTTCCCTTCCCAATTATAAGCATTTAGAGGGTGCATGAAACCAACTTAACTCTCTAGTACAACTCTATAAGTCATCTAAAAATCTGTAATCTCTGAGTTATCCCCTGTACTGCTTGGAGAAATCAAAAAGAATCCTCCACATTGAATAGTTTGCTTAGAAAGTCGCCCTGTGAGCTTTCTGCGGTTGTGGGAGTCGTCTAGGAGGACCACCTCGACATTTGTAAACGTCGCAGCGATAGCCATGGCTCCAGCCAAGTTGTATGGAGCGCCCGCCTGGAGCGCCCGCCCATGAAGGTCACATGCGTTGAGCAATTCTTAACAAGGTTCATACTTGTTCTGTAAGGGAGTGGGCGTAGATAAAGGAAGCCGTGGGGTTGCATCGAGTAGAAACTTTTTTCAAAGCTCTACTTAATTCTGGTGTTCCTTCTTGATAACATCCTCTCCCCCACCTGTTCGTTGAGGTTTCTCACGGTCGCGTGTCTGCGGGCTACGGCACGGAGTGGAAGAAGTGCGGTCAGGGGGTCCCCTATAAAAAATCTCTTGCAGTACGACTCCATTGCCCAGTTTCCAGTTTTTTTCTCCAGGAAAGCTACCTGCGGAGCGGGGATATATAACTCTCATGAAGCGGGTAAAAGCCGCTAGTTCAACAAGCGAAAAATTTCTGGCGGGGCCAGTTGCGACTCGTCCTCCCCACCTACCAAGCGCGCCACTTGAAGAGATTTTCCATGATGCTGTCTTCGGAGTTCAGTGCTTTCCTTATCTGGTGGTCTTTAGGTTTTCTTAGCACGTGTCTGTACTATCGCTGCTCTCGTGTCATTTGGAACTCCGGCATCTGTTTTTGCGTCACCTCATCTTGCATGCATTCCGTTCTGTACGTTCTGTGGAATCCTTCTAAGTGGTCAGGGTAACTCCCTATCTAACCAGGGTAAATGACTGAGCGCCTTTAGGTCCATTGAGAGTAGGTTGTACAATATTGTTTGGGTACTCTCCATCAGTATTGCTTTTCTTTTTGTTATCAAACGTTGTTGCTGATGGTAATTCCTTTGAATGTTCTACTTATGCATGTGCTTTTCAGATTAAACCGATGAGCATATTGTACTCACAAAATTAATTTGAAATGGATGCCAGTGTATCGTCATCAATGGTGTCGTCCCGTGGTGGAGACGTACCGTCGACGGTGCAAGTTGCACTCAGGTAATAACTAGCACTAGTATTATGTGGGCCCATTTATATGCATTAATTGGCCCCTTAGCAGAAGGCGGATTTGGAGCAAGTCTGCTGGAGGAGGGGGGAGAGGATGGGGGCATGGAAAGACTAGTAGTTGAAAGTAGTGTTACCGTAATGCGAATGGTATTATCGTAATTGACAGCGGTACATCCACTCTGGAGCGCCTTCTTCCCCGCCTTGTCTTCTTTGGCCAAAATCCTTGGAGTCTGGTCCTTGGAGTTTGGTTCTTGGAGTTTGGTTAGACCCTCATCTATCGGGTCTGCGTCGTCGTATGTGCTAACATATGCTGGACAAGTGCCAAAAGCGCTCTAAAGGTGGATTGAAGTGGCAGTGATGAAGGGTTGCGCCAGAGTAACCAGCAGGTTAATGCATAACCCCCTCTCAATATTTGGAATAAGTAGTTCCTCGGTGACGATCAGCTCCCCCTCCCCCCTTCTATAGCTTGACGGCACTTGTTGAGGAGAAACAGAAAAATTTCTGCATTGGGGAAAAATGGTAGAAAGTTGGGAACACTCAGGAAGATGAAAGGTAGGATTGGTGGAAGAGGGGATGGGAGGGGGCGGAAATGATGTCGTGTCAGGGTACAGCATAGGGATAGGCGAAATGTCGGTGTGAGTACGACCCCCCTCCGAATGGGGTCCACGCCACGACCCCCCCCCTTTTTTTCCCCGTTGGTACGACCCCCCCCCTCAGCTCGACCGGCTCTTTCGCCGACTGACGAGCGATGAGTGTAT